TGGATGCAGCTGCTGGGCCATGGAAACACACTGTTGTGTTAATCTGAAGGTCACACAAAGTTTGGAGATCTTTAGCTATTGACCCTGCAGACAGTTGGCGACTTCTGTGCGCTTCAGCATGCGCTGACCCCGCTCTGTCATGTGACGTGGCCTACCACTTGGTGGCTGAGTTGCTGTTGTTCCCAGTTGCTTCCACTTTGTTATAATCCCACTAACAGTTGAGCGTGGAAAATTTTGTAGCCAGGAAATGTCACGAATGGACTTATTGCACAGATGACCACCTATCACGGGACCACGCTTGGAGTCATTGAGCTCCTGAGAACGACCCATTCTTTCACTAATGTTTGTAGAAGCAGTCTGCATGCCTGATTGATTTTACACAACTGTGGCAATGGAGGTGATTGGGACACCTGAATGCAATGATTTGGAGGGCTGGCCCAATACTTTTTGCAATATAGTGTATATCAGTAATATAAACACGCAAGGATTCATTTTCTTGTGCCTTCCTACAATTCCTTTGTTTGATTTTGTGTTTGTTAGAAGCACCCTTGCTATTGAATGACATTATCTGTATATTTAAGTGTCAGTTCTCCGTAGCCTAATGCGCTATATAGGAAACGCAGAATTGGATAAATATGTTAGAACTATGATAGTGTTGGAATAGAAGAGATATATTCTTTAACTGCTTTGGGCTCCTATAATATCTGATAGTATGATAGTTACCAGCAAGGTTATTTTAGCTGCATGTTATTTTCAGCTGCACAATAGATAGCAGAGGTGATTATATCTTTCCACCATTCATTCATCCAACATACGTCACTGGTGATGCATTTGGAATTTGGACATGTGTGAAGTTGATGGAGAAAATGTCCGTTCAGCTGTTCTTCATCGGCTTGAATATACTCATACTTCAAAAATCATTTCAAAATCATCCATAACAAATAATAAAAGATCCTTGTTGATTCTCTTAATTCTGCCATTTTGTTGTAGTGGGGATTTAATACGGAGGTTGAAAAGATCCCCCAGGTTTAATTAGTGAGAACTCAGTGGTCGTTTGTGTCATTGTATTTGTCTGTAGCAGTGTTGTGTCAGCACAAAGTATTCAAGGGGGATACAAGAAGATTACTATAAAAGGGTCCTTGGAAACTTACTCTGGTGACAAAGAAGCTCCAGCGTATGAACGAATGCATCTAATCTTTACTACTAATAATAATAAGGGGCTGGGTGGGACACCTTCAAAAATGCAGAACACAAAACAGGTATGCTGGTTACAGTTATAGCTGGACTGTGGCAACCACAACACTTACAAAGCCTTCTAATCCTTATTGCACAAAAGCCATCATAATCCGATCTGCAAGTGATGTATTTATAGTACATTTATGATTCCAATATCTAGTTCATCTTAATGCATTTCATCCTCACCCCCACCACTGGACCGAATTACTAATTGTGTCAGTGCACCAGAACCACTTCAATTGGAACGTGACGCCAATATAAAAAAACACTGTTTCATCTACTTATGCGTTCATTAAAATCATGAAATGTATTTTGAGGTACTTCTGCTTTACCTGCCCAAAGTCTGTCTTTTACCTCACTTCAATCCTCTACAAATAGATTAGGGGCCTTCTTGAATAAAATGTAAAGTAAGTTGAATTAAACATGTGTTTAATTAAAAATAGCCATGTGTAACCCCCCCCCCCCCCCCCCCCCCCCACGAATCTGGTTTAACAACTCTACAATTTTCAAAAGATAGGAGGGGGCTAGTCATCCCAACTGCTAGATTCTATTTTCTTGCCTTCCAACTCCAATGTAAGCCAGGATGGGGGATATTGACACTGCAGACCCTAGCCAAGGAATGCTAACAATGAGATCCTCTAAATACCATCTAGTGGCACAGTTTGAATAAATGATTTATTCTGGCCAATTAAATTAATCAATGTCCAAATGCTTGATGCAGATAAATGAGTGTAAATGCAGTACACATTTTTACAATAATCAAGGGTTTTTTTTTTTTTGGCCAAAATGCTGCTGGCCTCTAGGGGAGTTAAAATTAAACGTCAGTGTGCATGAGGCCTTACTCTATTACATAAAGTATCCGAGATAAAGAATATAATGCAGTTCTCCTTCAGCGATACCTATAACTGTCTTCTCCTCCCCACTTCCTCTTTCTGTAGGGGTCCCTCAAGGTTCTGTCCTTGGACCCCTTCTCGTCTCTATCTACACCTCCTCCCTTGGTCACTTGATAAACTCCAATGGCTTTAAGTACCATCTCTATGCTGATACACAAATCTATCTTTCTACTCTTCCTTACCCCTTCAGTCTCCTCTCACATCACTAACCTATTAAGTAACATATCAGCACGTATGTCACTCCACTTCCTCAAACTAAATCTTTCCAAAACGTACCTCATACTATTCCCTCCAGCCTGTGCCCCCTCCCCTGACTTCTCCATCAAGATCAATAATACAACCATCAGTCCCTCCCCTCATGCCAGGGTACTCGGTGTAATCCTAGACTCCCATCTGTCCTTTCAGCCCCAAATCCAATCGCTGTCCAAATCTTGGGGATTCACCTCCGCAACATCTCCAAGATATGCCCGTTCTTAACGCCTGAAACCACTATGCAACTTATTCACTCCCTGGTTATCTGTCACCTTGACTATTGTAACTCCCTCCTCATTGGCCTACCTCATTGCAGGCTATCCCCTCTTCAGTCTATCCTGAATGCTGCTGCTAGACTCATCCACCTTACTAACCGTTCCATATCTGCCTTCCCTCTCTGCCAATCCCTCCACTGGCTTCTCATTGCCCAACGAATAAAATTCAAAACCCTAACAATAACATATAAAGCCATTTATAAATCTGCCCCAAATTACATCACCAATCTGGTCTCCAAATATCACCCAAACCGTACTTTCCGCTCCTCGCACGACCTCCTCTCTAGCTCCCTTGTCTCCTCCTCCCATGCTCATCTCCAGGACTTCTCCAGAGCCTCCTTCATCCTCTGGAAATCTCTCTACCCCAATCTATCTATTGCCTACTCTGCCCATTTTTAGGCGATCTCTGAAAACCTATCTCTTCAGGGAAGCCTATCCCTCCTTCAGCTAAAAATGGAATCTTTTATTCCTCCATCAGTTCATCCCCCACAGTTATTAATTATTATACCAGCAGCCCCTCCCTCTTAGATTGTAAACTCAAAGGAGCCGGGTCCTCCTAACCCTCTTGTATTGCACTGTATCATTGCTGTATTGTCACCCTTTATACTGTAAAGCGCTGAGCAAACTGTTGGCGCTATATAAATCCTGTATTATAATAATAATAATAATAATTCAATATCATGACCGTAATACCTGCACCCTGCTATGGGGTAAGATCCAACTGGGTAGGAAGGATTCAATCACTAGTTTCAGGCTGGGATCCGCTTTTTACATCAGTGTTGGTACCCTGAAGTCCTTTCCAAATATAGCAGATTTTTCTAGTATCTCCAATTGAGACCAGGTGTCTGCTCTAGCTAAGCAACTCGCTCTTTCTATGAGACCTACCCTACTAATTGATAAAATAGTCTGTGCAAGTCAAGCAAGGGTCTTATCTCTGACCTGTATGTTCACCTACATGGAAGTGACAAGACAGTATTGCCCTGTAGGATGGATGAGAGAGAGACCTTGGAAATATCTTGGCGAATACTTGGTTAGCACTGCTAGAACAGACAGCCCTAGTGTCATTGTCACTTTGACTGGCACAATTGTTTTTTTTACAACAGAGTCTATCGTACCCCACACAAATTGTCAGTTGTACTGTAGGGATAGCTCGTGTTGTCCGAGATGTCAGGGGGAACCAGCTGACCTTCAGATGCTGTGGAGGTGCCACAAATTATTTTGGTACTGGGAAGCAGTTGTTAACACTATAAATAGGATATATCAGATCTCCATTGCTGAAGAACCTCTTGTCTGTTTACTAGGAGTGATGAGGATTAGGGGTCCCCAGATATTCAAGCAGATCCCTTACAAACTTCTCCAGGTCCATGTCCAACTTCAGTGTCAGAACCTTTAAGCCAAACAAGCAACATTGGGCTGAGTTGGGAGGATTCCTGGAAAAGATAGCGTGTCCCTATCCTGTCTCTGCTCCTCCGGAAACTCTCCCTGCCGCTATCCACTTTCCCTGACAGACAGGTAACCTAGTCCTACAATGTCCACTCGCAAAATACATACCAAGCCCAGGACCTAGGGTCTTAAATAGACTCTGCCTGACCCAAGATGGCCACCAGAATCACATGGAGCAGCTGCATCCAACCGAATCACTTCCCCAGTGACCCAGAAAACCGTAGAGCAACACACTGGCAATTTTTTAAATATGGTGGCTGTGATATAATCTTGCATACAACTAGCTTAATTTTAAAGTTTTCTAAGAAAGAGAAAAACTGGAGCAGTTTCCCAGAACACATTTTGTCTTTTTATATAAAACTTTGAATATGGTTGCTGTGGTCAGTGGTTTCTCTGTTGCTCCCATTTTCTTTGCACTAGTCTTTGTATAAAAAGCCTCAACCATTTTATGGCTCGGTCACAGAGTACATGATCCCTTCACAGTAACCAAGTTTATAGGACAGGTCACTGGACCGACTCATCAAGAAGATCACTTGATTTACCTAAGCGTATGAAATCTATTAGCCCATTTAAATGCTTGATATATGCTTTATATCATCTGGTCACTTTATTACAGTTAAGAGAGCTTGTCCTTTGTAGCTCTCAAACACACTGTAGTGGCTGTGCAATGTTACAGATGGCTATAGTTTAAAGAAATCTGTAAAGTTCTGTCCTATATAATAATCTTTTCAGTGGTAGAAATAAGTTACCGTGAGCTGTTCAGCAATTAAAATACCATAAAATCTTCCAAAACATTTAAAACAAATCTGTTATAATTTTTCAAGCTACCAGTTCCATTAGAGCAGTCTGCAATTAGTCACTCCTCCCCATCCTCTTTACGGTTGCTTTTTTTTCCTTGCATGTGAAGAAAATCTGCGCCAGTACGTACTATAGCAACAGCTTATTGTACATTAGCATGTGGTCAGTGGGAAGAATGGCCCCTTACATTGGAGGTCAATGGGAAGAATGGCCCCTTACATTGGAGGTCAATGGGAAGAATGGCCCCTTACATTGGTGGTCAGTGGGAAGAATGGCCCCTTACATTGGTGGTCAGTGGGAAGAATGGCCCCTTACATTGGAGGTCAGTGGGAAGATTGGTCCCTTACATTGGTGGTCAGTGGGAAGAATGGCCCCTTACATTGGAGGTCAATGGGAAGAATGGCCCCTTACATTGGAGGTCAATGGGAAGAATGGCCCCTTACATTGGAGGTCAATGGGAAGAATGGCCCCTTACATTGGAGGTCAGTGTGAAGAATGGCCCCTTACATTGGAGGTCAGTGGGAAGAATGGCCCCTTACATTGGAGGTCAGTGGGAAGAATGGCCCCTTACATTGGAGGTCAGTGGGAAGAATGGCCCCTTACATTGGAGGTCAGTGGGAAGAATGGCCCCTTACATTGGAGGTCAGTGGGAAGAATGGCCCCTTACATTGGTGGTCAGTGGGAAGATTGGTCCCTTACATTGGTGGTCAGTGGGAAGAATGGCCCCTTACATTGGTGGTCAGTGTCCCTTACATTGGTACATTGGTGGTCAGTGGGAAGAATGCTTTTTACAAGCTACCCATATACCCCATGCATATTCAGCCAAACTGTCATGCTTAAATGTATATGTGTAAAGGAGGACTTTGTTCCTGGTAAAATATTACCAGTATAAGTTCAGATTATGTGCAACCACTGTTGTTTTTTCCCCTTTAGTATAAAACAGATAACATCCATAGAAAAATACATAAAACTAAACAAAGCAAGATGCTAAAACATTATCTAGTCCAACATGAAAATAGCTTATCTTGCTAAAAAAAAAACAAAAAAAAAACAGACCCCCCCCCCCCCCCCCCCCCAAAAAAAAAGATATATAAAATATAAGAATCAGTAATTCTCCTGCTGATTAGAGCAGATTCGCCCACTAGAAGGAACTGCACTGTGTTCATATATCAATACAGGTCCAAATACTTTTTCTCTTAAAATAAAGCTTTCACGTGTTTTCATTTTGAATTGCAGTATTGCTAATCTCCTTCAGCCTCTTTTAGCTACTTCCTGTCTACACCAGTGTTAAACGCACATCATTGCTTTTGATTGTTTTACTATAATGACAACAATAGTAAAAAATGTTGTGCAATGTGTGTCAGCATATATATATAGAGGTTGATTTACTTAAGACAAATAAGCTGTTCACCTTGCAAGGGAATCTTCCCTTCGCTTACTGAATGTAGTTATTCACTTTGCTAAGAATATCCAATCTCAGGCATGGGAAAAAAAAACACAAATATATTTTTGCTTGCAGGTATTTGGATGATGGAATCCAACAGAGTTTTATCTTTTTCACAAAACTAAGGAAAAATCCCCTTGCAAAGAGAACAGCCTGCCTTTAGTAAATTAACCCCATAATCTCTACCAGGGATTTGTGTGAAAACAAACATTTTGACACTCCAGTAAAATGTTGAAGCTTATGAAATGTTACTGATTTGGGTTTATATCTACTTCAAGCTACCCATATACCCCTATGCAAGAAAAACCTAAACTAAAGGTGAGGGTGGGTGACTTTTGATTTATTTATTATGAAAACATTGATGAATTTGCAACCTTCTCTTTTAGCTATCCAGCGTGTTAGGTATTGAGAGTAATCGCCTTCAGGATCCGAGGAAAAGCATTGAAAACCTTTTCACTCTTTTGTTTTAGATGCCTTCCTCCCTTAATATGAGCTAAACATTTTATGCTCTAATTAATTGGCTTCTATGACTGGCCTATAAAAGTAAAGGTCAGTTTTTACTTGCTGCATTAGCGTATGAAAACTGCAACCATTACCATTTAGGCTGAAGTGTGGAAATTTAGGGCTAGATGTTATCCTGCCTCAGATGTGCAATAAATCTTCTCATGGATAAGAGAAGGGACACTTGAGCAGCCAAACATGCACATAATGGAATTACACACTTATCAATATCAATTTACTACTTTGAAATAGTCAGTCCATTACTTTTTTTTCCCATTTTAATTAAACATACACTCCAGTCAAACATGAAAATGTTGCCTTTAAAATGACTCAAGAGGCACAAGCTGCTTATTCAGCAAATCCCATTTTAATTCTAACGTTCACTTTCTTTACCTGGCTGCCCTGCTCATTAAAGCTGAACTTTAGGTTCACTTTCATATTGCACCCAATCCTCCCCCCAAATACAGTGCATAATTCTTCATTTTTAAAAAAAATCTAAAGCAGTCACTTGAAATTGAAAGATTTATTACCTAGGACATCATTAAAGGATAACTAAACCCAAGAACAAAAATGTAATATATTGCAGCTTACAGTTCTTAGTGGTGGCTGCATTAGTTTCCTTTTTTCTTTTTTTTTTTTTTTTTTTTTCACGCTAAGAGCATTTTCAGTAAAAGCATAAAATTCCTTTTGATCTTGCCAGGAATGCAGTGCCCTTGTCACTTTCTGTGAGCTGCACAAAAGAATATTGTTCTTCCTAGCTATCTTTTTGTAAAGCTACCAATTGCCCTCTCCCCAGTGTAAAGGAGATGAAGAGATACAGACATGTTTGTAGTCCATACCAGGTCAGCAGCCTAGGGTCACAATAGATTCCATTGGGACAACAGGAAGTGTGTTTATTTACAGGATTACTAGGTTAAACCAAAAGAAAAGAAGCTTGAAAAAAATAAAACAAATGCAGCCACTGCACCAAAGACTAGTAACCTGCAATATATTACATTTTCATGTTTTGGCTTTACATGCATTTTAATCCCAGCCAATTTGCTTGCAAAATCCTGACCATGAAGAAGGCTGCATAATGTCCTATGACTCTGCATTGGTCTAAAACAGCTATTCTCAAACCAGGGCCCGTGGAGACTTAGGGTTCTTCTAGAGGTTGCTATGGGTTTCTTCATCTATAGCTTAGTTACCTCCTATTTGATGGTTCCTTCATTGTTCCAGGGGCCAATGCCAATGATATTTTTCTAGCTGTCTGTAAGGGTAGCCTTCTGACCACTAAAAGGGGACATTCTTCCCACTGACCACTACTGTAGGGAACGTTCTTCCCACTATTTATTTATTTCAGGTACTTGTATAGCGCCATCAATTTACGCAGCACTTTACATATATATTGTACATTCACATCAGTCCCTAACCCTCAAGGGGCGTACAATCTAAGGTCCCTAACTTACATTCATACATACACATACTAGGGCCAATTTAGACAGGAGCCAATTAACCTACCAGCATGTCTTTGGACTGTGGAAGGAAACCGGAGTACCCGGAGGAAACCCGCACAGGGAGAACATGCAAACTCCAAGCAGGTGGTACCGTGGCTGGGATTCGAACCAACGACCCTAGCACTGCCAGGCAGAAGTGCTAACCATTTAGCCACTGTGCTGCCCACTAACCACCAATGTAAAGGTCATTCTTCCCACTGACCACTAATGTAAAGAACATTTTTCCAACTGATGTAAGGACATTTTCCCCACTGGCCACCAATGTAAGGAGCATTCTTCCCACTGACCACCAATGTAAGGGACATTCTTCCCACTGACCACCAATGTAAGGGACATTCTTCCCACTGACCACCAATGTAAAGGACATTCTTCCCACTGACCAATGTAAGGGACATTCTTTCCACTGACCACCAATGTAAGGGACATTCTTTCCACTGACCACTAGAGATGAGCGAAGTATTCAAAAATTCGATTCGACTGATTCGGCGAATTCGTGGACAATATTCGATTCGAGTCGAATATATTCGCTGTGAATTTAACTTAAAAAAGGGTGTTTCTAGGCTTCAGAGAGACTTAATATTAGTGCAGAACACTGTACCTTTAATTTAAATGCCCTTGGAGTCTGCTGGGGAAGAGAAATAATACTGTCAGTCAGTATGACATGCAGATGAGTGCCGTCGATCTTAGAATCACCGCACACTTCACTCATTTGGCCAGTCACGGGGCCAAAACCAGTGTTTGGAGCCACAGTGTGGCGGTGGAGGCAGCAGCAATGGGAGGCCATACAGCAAAATATGACAAAATGGAAACCAGCAGGAGTGTGAGGAGACCTCAAAGTGGCACATGGCAGAGTGGGAGCAATGGGAGGCGGTACAGGGACCCATGTCACACTGTGGACCCAGCAGCAGCGTGACGAGGCGGTACGGGGGCTCATGGCAGATTTGGGGCCTGGCAGCACCTATGGGAGGCCTGTAATCTGCCAGCAACCTATGACAAAATGGAAAACAGCAGGAGTGTGAGGAGACCTCAAAGTGGCACATGGCAGAGTGGGAGCAATGGGAGACGTACAGGGACCCATGACAGACTCTGGACTTGGCAGCAGCATGAGGAGGCGGTATAGGGGCCCATGGCAGATTAGGGGCCTGGCAGCAGCTATGGGAGGCCCGTAATCTGCCAGCACCCTATGTCAAAAAATTGAACACACCAGCAGTGTGAGGAGACCTGAAAGTGGCACATGGCAGAGTGTGGCGATAGAGACAGCAGCAATGGGAGGCCGTACAGGGACCCATGAGAGACTCTGGACTTGGCAGCAGCATGAGGAGGCGGTATAGGGGCCCATGGCAGATTAGGGGCCTGGCAGCAGCTATGGGAGGCCCGTAATCTGCCAGCACCCTATGACAAAAAATGGAACACACCAGCAGTGTGAGGAGACCTGAAAGTGGCACATGTTTGAGGCATGATTCATGGCGGATTTAGTCAGTTGTGTCAGGAACTGGTGGTTTGAAATCCAGACTAATCCACGCCTGATTCATTTTCACAAACGTGAGTCTCTCCACACTTTGGGTGGACAGTCGTGTCCTCCGCGGAGTTGCAATACCTCCTGCCGCACTAAACACGCGCTCCGATGCCACGCTACTGGCCGGGCATGACAGCCTTTCAAGGGCAAATTCAGCTAGTTGGGGCCAAAGGTCAAGTTTCGTTGCCCAGTAGTCAAGGGGATTGTCTACCTCGGTTGGCAGGGTGCTGTCCAAGTAGGCCTAAGCCTGTTGTTTGAGGTCCTGCTCCAGGTCCACCTGATGCTGCTGCTGCTGCTGCGGCTGGTTAGTAGTTTCCTCACTGCGCTGGTGAAGAAAGCTACTCATCATCGACTGCAGACTGAGGCAGCCGCTGCTGGTGGAGCTGCCACTGCTCCTACCACCCCACCCCTCCCCTGCTGCCATGGCAGCGTAACGCGAGCGCACAGGGCCCACAGTGTCTGAGGATGGACGTTGGCGCAGACAGGCAGAGACCAGCTGACTACATAGGTGGTTTTTATAGTACGTTATTTTGGCCTCCCTCTCAGCAGGTGTGAAAAAGGCCACCATTTTGGAACGGTAGCGAGGGTCCAACAAGGTGGACAGCCAAAAGTCATCCCTCTGTCTGATGGTTATTATTCGGCTGTCGGTACGCAAGCAAGCGAGCATGCTATGGGCCATTTGTGCCAAGGAATGCGAGGGACTCCCTGCCTCCATCTCCACAGCATACTGCCACGGTGCGTCTGGGTCCTCTGTCTCCTCTTCCTCCTCCTCTACCAGATGCTCCTGCTCCTCCACTCCTGTCCGCTGAGTGGAAAAAAACCCATTTCACTCAATAATTCCTGGGCACCAATGTCCTCCTCTACCTCCTCCTCTTCTTCCTGTCCTGCCCCCACAGGGGTCATGTGGCGTTGAGATCTGTGCGCCACGTCTACCGCACCCTGACCAGCCATTGTTAACAGCATTTGTTCCAGGATGTGCAACAGAGGAATGACGTCGTTCATCCCATAGTCCTGCCGACTCACGAATAGCGTGGCCTCCCCAAAGGGCCTGAGCAA